CAAGTGATCCTTAGGTCAAGGTTTTGACCTCAGCTTAGTTCACTACATGTATATGAATGTTTCTGTTCAGTGCTGTGAGATGACTTCTGTTGTAACTTGGCTCTATGTAAATAAACTGAATTGAATAAGATGGCAACAATCCACTTTGGTCTTGTCTTGGTCCTGCTCGGACAAACCATCAGCTTGTCAATCCAGTCAAAATTAAACTTTTTAGAGTACAAGTTTCCATTAAAGGTTTTATATTCCTTTTGTTTTGTTCATTTGTAGGCAATCTGTTTAATACAACCATGTTAAAGTTTAATTTCTGCTTTAAAAATTATGCATGACTTTGGCATTAAAAAAAACTGGAGTGAAACAAACAGATCTGCAGTTTAACATGGACTTCATGTTTGGATTGTCAGAGCAGCTGATAGTTTTATAGCTGGCAGGCAAAGCAGAACATTGTGGGACTGGATATGGAAAATATACATTCCTTGAAGAGGAATGTTTCCATCTGCACCACAACACAATAAGGGGATGATTAGATTGCTGTTGGAATAGATCAGTGGGTGATGAAGATGAGTCATGATTGTAAACAACCCAAAGTGCAGAAGGCTGTTAAAATCCACAAACTACTTAATGTGTTTGATTTAGACATTGAAGTGGAATATTTGCAAAATAATGCCAACAAACTACCCACTAATGCATGTTATTGATAAAGGGCAATGAGGTGTGGCTTTTACATCAGCTCTTACTCTATTCACTCATTGCGTTTGTATTATGAATTACTCGTTTATTTTATGTTCATCCAATAATATTGATCGGTGCATATTTTGTTTTGCTTTCAGGCGACAATTGGAATTGACTTTCTGTCGAAAACAATGTACCTAGAAGATCGAACGGTAAGTTACAGCTGTATTGTGTCATGACGCACGTTTTATTACCAGAGCAGCTACAGTTCTCTCCGCCTGTCATTTAGTTCATCTCCACAAAACCGTTGTCTGCATTCAGACTGTTCGGCAGTGCTGAGGAACAGCATGTCATCTTTCTTGTGCTGCGTAGGTGGATACAATGGAGCCTGTCTGCTGTTTTTCTGTTTAGCATGGAAAAGTACAACCTTGGAAACGAAGGCTTTTCTTGTCTAAATAAAGCCTGTTGTGAATGTGTGCATGTGTGTCTGAAGGGAGCCCATTGTTTCCTGGCTCTCTGACTGTCTGAATCATCTTCCCCTCCTCAGCGTTGTCTCTCTGAACCCCAGGTGAGGTTGCAACTCTGGGACACAGCAGGACAAGAGCGCTTCAGGAGCCTCATCCCCAGTTATATACGGGACTCCACCGTGGCCGTGGTGGTCTACGATATTACGAGTCAGTGCCTGTTGCACACGCGTTTCACGTAAAACATGTTAGCCGTCAGCTTCGCAGTTTCTACTCAACTTTAGCTTCAGCCCATGATGTAGATGACTCCACTTAAACCAGAGCTGTTTGCTAACAAGCCGTCTTATGTAATAAAACTAAGCACATTAGTGGTTAATTAAAATATAGCTCTTAAGCTTCAGATGTTTTGTCATTTTCATTGCTAGGCAACATCTAGGGGAAAGGGAAATAAGAGCTGAAGGACGTGATTGTTTTATAATCAGGGAGAGAAAGAAAAAACTAATTTACTGAACATAGTTAATAGGAAAACGTTGGTTTTCTGTGGTTTATAGGGACATGATAAAAAAAATCCCATATTAGATCTTAAGTTTAGGTTAATACTTAAGCAACTTTTGGCATTTGAAGGTTTGTCATTATTTATTCAACAAAACAAGACAAATAATCTCTAATGCTTACTCCACCTTTAGTAACTATACTTTTAAAGTAATTCAACGCTGTCTGACCTATCAATCCCTTTTGTTGTGGAGGAATTTGCAGGTAATTGTTTCTGCACAGCTTTCTCAAGTTCTCACTGCAGCACTGTGGGAGGGTTGACGTCTGAACATTGGTTGAGACATTACAACATCTTTTCATAAGAAGAGTTGTGCAAAGTGTAAATGCTTGAAGTCAGATGTTCTATTTTGAATAGCTATGCTTGTGAAGATTACTGATAACGTTATTGTGATAAGATGGGTGTTGCTGCATTTGAGCTTATTTTACTCTGCTCTCTTCCTTCAGACGTCAATTCATTCCAGCAGACGTCAAAATGGATAGACGATGTGAGGACAGAGAGAGGAAGTGATGTCATCATCATGCTTGTTGGCAATAAAACAGACTTGGCAGACAAGAGGTATGTAAATACAACATGGCTACCTCCTGTCCTCCGCATCTCTTTTTTTGTGTTGTCACCATGACAACCATGGTTGAGATGATAGCTGGGCACTCTCATGGAAGCATCTGTCAGACCACTTGTTTTAAAATGAGAAAATTAAAGCTTGCTTCAGGGAATGTCTGATGACCGAGTCTTTTAATTTTTTTTTTTTCTGGGGGTGTATGAAGTCATCTAGAAAAGGTGAGAAAATGCTGATGAGACAAGATGTTTAATGAATCAAAGATGGGGAGAAAATTGATCTGAAACAGAAAGCTATGAGTTGAAAGGTAAGAAAAATACTTGCAGCAGAAATGTACAGTAGTGGGAGAGCTGGAGAAAATAAATGGAGAATCGAACCATAACATGATTAGTGTTCTGGTGGGTAAATATTGATGCTGCGAGTGTACCAACTGTAGACTACAGACTACATGAAAATGACCTCGCTTCAATTCACCACCTCAAGTTGGTTCTATTTCCTGAGAAGGTGTAGAAGCACAGAAAATTTAGCAATATAGAGTTTTAATCTAGAAAATATGCAAAGTACTACTTAACTCAATATTTTTTGTCAAATTTTCTGTAAAATATATTGCTCTAAAAGGTTTTTAAGTAATAAATGGGTGTGTTGAACTTGAGAAACATGATTGGTCTAAATCACAGCATTATAAAGTAGAGCTGTCATTTCTAACCTGAACCTGGAACCTGGAACCTGGCCCGACCTGGATTAGGGCCAGGCCGAGCCATAATAATGTGCTTAATGTGCGGGCCGGTATTGGGGTTTTTGATTGCGTTAGCAGACGTGTGCAGCTCACAATCCAACTATATGGCAACATGTCTTGCCATACATTCACCAGCTGCACGCGTCCATTTGACCGCACACTGACCGGCCCTGAAAGAGGTTAAAAAAAAAAGTTAATTTAAGCTTCAGATGGGACAGAAATAAGCAACAAGCATGAACAAAGTCAATTCATATGAAATTGACGTTCATTCAGCCGCTGCACTCGGCGAACGTACGTGGCCGATGACCCAAACAGGTGAGATCACAAAATATCCAACATGTCAGAGCAGGGTCCGTGTCTGAATAATGCAGAATGCAGGCAGAAACGGGGATTTATTGCGCTTTGATGGCCATGAAAGAACAAACACCCCTCAGCTCCGATCTTCTGCCCCCTTAGCCGCGCGCGTCAGCCTATCGTTAATAACCATATAAGCAGTCAAAGTTTAATTAATTATGTTGAGGGGTTTTTTTCGGGTTCAGACCTGTAATTACTGTTAATTCAGCAGGTTGGGAGAGGTTCGGAAATGATGGCTATGGGCTGGGACCAGGTCGGGTAGGATTTTTTTGGGGGCCCGAATGCAAGTCTATTATAAAGTATGTTTTCCAAAATAAGAAAAGCTAGCTAAAGTTCACTAAGGCCTAGCTAGGTAATCAGCAAGCAGCTGGAGTTTAAAACGACTCTGTACACTGACACTGATTTAAAAAGTCTTCATTAAAAGTGTCTTATTTAATTTAAAATACAAACCGGATTCCAAAAAAGTTGGGACACTAAACAAATTGTGAATAAAAACTGAATGCAATGATGTGGAGGTGCCAACATCTAATATTTTATTCAGAATAGAACACAAATCACAGATCAAAAGTTTAAACTGAGAGAATGTATCAAAGGGAAAAATCTGTTGTTTTCAAATTTCACGGCGTCAACAAATCCCCAAAAAGTTGGGACAAGTCTATTTTTACCACTGTGTGGCATCCCCCCCTTCTTCTTACAACACTCAACAGACGTCTGGGGACAGAGGAGACCAGTTTCTCAAGTTTAGAAATAAGAATGCTCTCCCATTCATGTCTAATACAGACCTCTAACTGTTCAATCGTCTTGGGCCTTCTTTGTCGCACCTTCCTCTTTATGATGCGCCAAATGTTCTCTATAGGTGAAAGATCTGGACTGCAGGCTGGCCATTTAAGTACCCAGATCCTTCTCCTACGTAGCCATGATGTTGTGATTGCTGCAGAATGTGGTCTGGCATTATCAGGTTGAAAAATGCAGGGTCTTCCCTGAAAGAGATGACGTCTAGATGAGAGCATATGTTGTTCTAGAACCTGAACATAGTTCTCTGCATTAATGGTGCCTTTCCAGACATGCAAGCTGCCCATGCCACAAGCGCTCATGCAACCCCATACAATCAGTGATGCAGGCTTCTGAACGGAGAGTTGATAACAACTTGGGCTATCCTTGTCCTCTCTGGTCTGGATAACATGGCGTCCCAGTGTTCCATAAAGAACTTCAAATCGTGACTCATCTGACCACAGAACAGTCTTCCATTTTGCCACACTCCATTTTAAATGACACCTGGCCCAGTGCAAACGTCTGAGCTTGTGGAGCTTGCTTAGAAATGGCTTCCTCTTTGCACTGTAGAGTTTCAGCTGGCAACGGCAGATGGCACGGTGGATTGTGTTCACTGATAATGCTTTCTGGAAGTATTCCTGAGCCCATTCTGTTATTTCCTTGACAGTGGCATTCCTGTTTGAGGTGCAGTGACGTTTAAGGGCCCGGAGATCACGAGCATCCAGTAGAGTTTTACGGCCTTGACTCTTACGCACAGCGATTGTTCCAGATTCTCTGAATCTTTTGATGATGTTATGCACGGTTGATGATGATAACTTAAAAGTCTTTACTATTTTACGCTGGGTAACACCATTCTGGTATTGCTGCACTATCTTTCTGCACAACAATGGTGGAATTGGTGATCCTCTTACCATCTTGGCTTCTGAGAGACACTGACACTCTGAGAAGCTCTTTTTATACCCAATCATGTTGTCAATTGACCTAATTAGTGTTAATTGGTCTTCCAGCTGTTCGTTGTACGCTCAATTTCCTTTTTCCAGTCACTTATTGCTACTTGCCCCAACTTTTTTGGGATTTGTTGATACTGTGAAATTTTGAATCAACATATTTTTCCTTTAAAATGTTACATTTACCCAGATTAAAATTTTGATCTGTCATCTATGTTATATTACGAATAAAATATTGACATTTGCCATCTCCACATCATTGCGTTCAGTTTTTATTCACAATTTGTTTAGTGTCCCACCTTTTTTGGAATCCGGTTTGTAAATATAAATGTCTTGTTGTGTTTGTTTTATACAAATTGATGAGAGCTGACAACTGAAACAAGCAATAGAGAATTAAAACTACCCAAATGATGTACTGGTTGATAGATAAGTAATTTCTCATATTCAGCTAATAGCATTGATCAGGGATGATGTCACAAGAATTATGGGGAATCCCCAAAGTCCTGGAAGTTGGGCAAACTATGTAGAAGACCTCATGCAAAATGGCCACCTCCAGTGCTTTTGTCCATGTCAAATTAAACAAAAGCAACAACCCCGGGGCCATAATCGACTTGGAATAAATTGAATGAAACAACAATACACAGCTCAAGCAATGGCTACAATGCAGGGCAACCAGACAAATTAATTAAAATGTACTAATTCCAGGTGTTGTTCCTGGTGTTTCCATGCTGATTCGTGCTCTTTTGTCTCAGTGAAAAAGAGCACAGATGACAGAAGATTTTGTGCAGGATTAAATCCATTGATTCTTCATGCATTGCACAGGCTTTCAGTGGCAGGATCAAGAATGATTTTCCCAGCTGCTTCTTCTATTTTACTTTGTTAGCTGGTGTTAGCCATTAGCTGTTAGCTATCAGTTCTTTTACCCTGTTTTTCAAAGTGAAACTTTTCTTAACTTATATAATAAGTAATAAGAACATATGATAAGTTCTAAGTTCTGTTATTACCACAATCGATTTTTGGCTTGGAAACAGAAAGGAAATTTAAGTTTTCTCCATTGCTTTGCTAGTTTTTGTTATCAACCACATTTAGACTGATTTTACTCTACGAGAATGTCAGAATGGTGATGGTATTTTTGAGATCCCTATAATGTTTTTTAATATTATCCTGTCTCTTAGATGTAAGTATTCTTGTTACATTTGTCCAGTCAAAGCCAACTCGGCCACAGTGTCCAATCCAACGATTACGTTTCTCTCCATTATTATCTCCTTTACATTACTCTCTGAGTAATTAACTTTGGAAACAACGAGCCAAATACCTTGCATAAGAGTCTTGTCAGCATATTGGCCGTCAATATTGCAAGTCCCATAGCAACAAAGCTTCTTAGGTACCCCCCCCCCCCCCCTTCTTTTTTAATTGTCACAAAGCACAACTACAGTACTGTATCGTACTTGAAGATCTGTTTGCCTGAAACCCGGGTACTTGCTGACACTATATTGTGTAGGAAGCTATTTTTAATAACCCTGACCAGCGCTATTTGCTAATGTTATTCATTACGTTTAGACTGGCTTCGACACACCTGTTTTGTTTACATTAGTCAGGAAGTCAAAGTAGTCATAAGCAAATTTAGCCACTGACATTTAGCTGATCTCTAAGCCGATGCACTGCATGAAATGGAGTGTTAACACTGCCTAACTGGCTAGCTGCTATCTCTGACTGCATATGGTGTGCCACCACTGGGAGCTTATAATACATTCATAGCTGCTTGCTAATTGCCTGGTTAACCGTAGAAAATGTAAGCAACCTCATATTTTGGAACACCTACCTTCTGACTAGAGTTGTATTCGAGCCTAAAAAAAATCAGACCCGGTCCCGGCCCATAGCCATTTTTTCCAAACCCGACCCGACCAATTTGCCTGCAATTACTGGCCTGAACCAGAAAAAAATATATATATATTTTTTTTTATTAAGTTTTTACTGCTTTTGTAAGCAAATCCGTTTGACATGATATTTTTAAAATGCATTTGAGGTGGAACACCTGGAGAGCTGGTGCAAAGAGAATAACCTTCACATCAATGTGAAGAAGACAAAGGAGATGATTGTGGACTTCAGAAGGAACAAAAACATCTACACCCCCCTGAACATAAGAGGATCCGCGGTGGAAGTGGTCTCCAGCTACAAGTACTTGGGTGTA